ATCTTGACATTGAAATGATCTTTTTTTTTCCTTTTCATTCCTAACAAGTGTTATTGCAGAACAAATTCAGGGTGATAATTTTCACTACATTCCCTTATAAGGAATAATAATAAGTCAGGCCTATTACCTCTCAGAACTTTTTGTGAAAGGGCTAAAGCCAATTCTGTGTTTGTCTGCATATTTGTTATATTGTTCTACAACCATATGTGGTTATAGAATATGTAGTAGGGACTGGTAACAATTCTGGACTGTGCAGCATGATACAAGATGATGACAAATCTCACTACTGAAGCCAAATCAAGACAATAAAGTCCTTTTTATAAGTGTACTTGTTTTGAGCAAGTTATTGTATCCTACCCCTTTTTTCCCCTTTTTCTCCCTCTTTATACTTTCCTATTTACTCCTATTCTATATTTAGTAACCTTTCCCACAAGCCCACATGGGGAACAGAGCTGAGACTCGTTGTGCTCAATGGAATTAAGCAGCAGCCAAACACTGAACACCGAGTTTATTCACCTTTCTTGGGTGCAGCAAGCAAATCTTGAGATGGTATAAAAGGCAAAAGTGACTTGGAATTCAGCTGTAATTTTGAGTATTTTGCTATTCAGTGGTTTCTATGTTACCTCTTCAGTCAGACGTTTTAGGTGACCTGATGTATTAAATCAATTAATTAGTCTACTTACTGTTCCTTTGGCCTTGAAAACATAGGAAACTTGAGTCAGCATCTCTACTATAATACAGACAGCTCTTTTTTTGTTCTGAGAAAAGAATAACTTTATTCATCTCTGTGTCCCTCTGACTTTTTTACCAGTAAAAATTTATCCATTAATTTTAAAAAAGAGAGACCCCTAGGCATTAAATCGTCTCTTTCTGCACTGAATGTTTGCTAAGCTGAATTTCTATTGGTACACTGGAATTCAGATTTATACATAATCATGTTAAGTTCTATTAAAAATATGTTAGCTTATGTGTATTCATTGAAATTCAAGTGCTAGAACATATGTTGTTTTTAATTGCAAGTTTATTTCATGTGTTCTTGATAGGGTTGGAAAAGATATGGTTTTTACTGCTACCTGGTTGGACACACCTCTGTAACATTTTCAGAAGCAAAGAAAACCTGTGAAAGGAGCAGTGGTTATTTAACAAGTATAGCAGACAGGTATGGAAAGAGTTTCAAAATTGTATATCTTTTGCAATAATATTGGAATTTTAAAAAAGAGTTGAGAACTTTTTTGGGGAAAAAAATACCAAAAAAAACCCCTCCAGAATATCTTTTTTCTGAAGGAAAAAAAATATGAACAAACTTAGTATGGCTTTTCTTACTAAAAACAATTTATACCTCAATGGTTTTTCAGTACTTAACTTTGAAAGAACAGACAACAGCAACTTTGGCTCTGTAAGGAATAGTCTTTCAGTATAGCACAGCTCCACCCTCTACTGCAGCTGGGACCCAGTTAAACAACATATTCCTCATAAGAGGAAATTTAATGGAGAATCTATTCATTGTAGAAGTTTGAATCTATTCAAACTTCACTGTGTGAAGTTTGGATGCTGAGGAGTGGGAGATGGAAGGAAAGCTGGGCTTAATCCCATCTGACTCCTGTCATTTCAGATATGAGCAAGCCTACCTGACCAGCCTCATTGGTCTGAGCTCTGAGAAGTATTTTTGGATTGGTCTCTCAGACATGCAAGAGCAAGGGATTTTCAATTGGGTGACTGGTGAAGGTGTTCTGTACACAAACTGGAATGCAGCAATGCCTGGTACTCTACTGATGCCAAATAATTTTTGCCTTTTTCTTTTTATAGATTCTCTGTATTCTTTACACATATATTATGCTTATTATGATATTAGAAGCTAGTCCCAGTGCTTTTCCCTATCTTTTCCCTATGCAGAAGGACATATTCCAGAGCTCCAAGCCCCAGGAGATACAAGGCCCCCATCCTATCTTGTTTTTCCTGGGAACTAAGGCTGAAAAATAGCGCTTCAAGACATATTTTCATAAACGAAGTTTAGTTTCCATCTGAGGGGGGAGGATGTTCATAAATCTATGGGCCCAGATGGGATCCACCCCAGGGTGATGAGAGCTCAGAAGGGATGCTCAGGCCTTGGAATGGGCTGCCCAGGGAAGTGGTTGATTTACCATCCCTGGATGTATTTACAAGATGTGAAGATGTGTAGATGTGGCACTGATGGTTTAGTGGTGAACCTGTGTTAATTGGTCAGACTCTACAATCTTACAGATCTTTTCCAACCTAAATTATGCTGTGATTTTCTAGGACGCCATGAAAATATTTATTTTCTGATTTCTCATTGTTTCCATGATTAAAATCCAATTGAGCAGAAAGGATGAAACCCCTTCCAGCCTTAGCAATGTGCTGCCAAAGCCTTGCCACAAGGGGGAGAGGAAAGAGGGAGGCAAAGAGTTGTTCCTGCACTTAGAGGGAAGGGACAATGATGAAGGATTTGCTGGTTTCCTCTTTTCACGAAGCTCCTCCTCTGAGTGGACACTACACTTAATATTTCAAATAGTCTTTTGTAAATTAATTACATGAGCCATAAAAATGTCGAAAGAGCCTCTTTAAAAAACATTTCAACTTTCTTTTTTATCTTGTAAAGGGAAGGAAGCTGGTTGTGTTGCCCTTAGGACTGGAAATGCAGCTGGACTATGGGATGTTCAGAACTGTGAAGTAAAGGCAAAATTTCTCTGCAAAAAATTAGCTGAAAAAGTCACTGTTCCTGCTGTTTCTGAAACAGTTTCTGACTCCAAATGTCCCTTGGGTTGGGATACAGGCAATAGCACTAATTCCTGCTTCAGAGTAAGTATTGGTTTTGCCATAATCCTACCTGGGAAACAGGACAGCAAAATAATTGCCAAATTATTGCCAAATAAATAGACAGTCTAAACATCACAGAATGGCACAATGTAGCAAGCTTTTACACAACTATTCAAATATCACTGCAGCTTTCACTCTATCAGTGATAAGTAAGGGCATCCAATTACTTTTGAATCCATATTTTAACGGATAATTACAATGGAAGGTTTACTTATTTTTCTTATGCAAGACAGCCAGCAGATTTATGTTTAGCACACTGGAAACACAGTGTTCTACCTGCATCTACAGGGTTTTGTGAGAGAAGAAGACCAAAAGAAAACATGGTTTGAAGCCCGAGATTTCTGCAGAGAAATAGGAGGAGACCTGGCTGCCATTAGAAATGAAGAAGAGCAAACAGTGATAGAAAACTTAATAAAGTAAGCAAGCAAACTGTCTAATAATTGATATTTTGGAGTGGCAACACATGACACAGTAATAAATAATGGTACTATTGTTTTGCTCCTGAGATAATTACTTAAAAATCTATCTGGTTTTCACCATAACAATTAGAAAAGTAACTGAGAAAATGTCCCATATGAGTAATGTTTTCAAAGAATTTTTGGACCTCCTAAAATGTCACAACCTGCAAACATTTTAAATTCAGATAAAAACCAGTCCAACAACAGAATTTGTTCAATGTTTCTCCACAGATCCTATTCTAAGTTTGCTTAGAATAATTTTGTGAATAGTGAATAGTGAATAATTTTGAAACCAAATTTTGTCTTCTAGTACTCTGAACATTTTATTTCTGAGAAAAAAACACTATAATCAAAACATCAATGCAGAAAAATAACATGCTGTGTTCTCAGTACAACCATTTGCAGAGCAAGAAATTTTAAGGTGTGAACTTCATGTACTTGCCAATTGGAGTTTGCAGGCCAACAATACTTTTTGTTTTTAAAATTTCTGCATTGTAATGTTCAATAAGTGTCAGAGTTACTGTCTCATGTAACTTCTAAAATTGAGCAGAGCTAACAATATAAATCCTCTTCAACTGCACATTTTTTTCACACTCTAGAAAGAAATCCCCGTCATTTCAGCCTTTCTGGATAGGTTTGCATTGTTTGCATCCTGATGGTGGAGTTTCCTGGAGTGATGGTTCTCCGGTGAGTGTTTCAACATGCCAGTTTCCTTCTGTGCTGACATTTTTCCTGTTGAAGTTTCCATGACTGTGTGTATAAAAGGTGTATAAGAATTTCCAAAAATGCCTATTTTGCAACTGGGTAACTCTGAACTATTATTCTTCATACTAGATTGGAAAAAAACAAAAGGGGCAAATAAACACTGAGATTATACCATTACAAAAGTGATAAAAGACAAAGGACAGCTTTCAGCTACAGAAATTATTATTGAAGTCACAAATTTATGAGAAAGGTCTCTCCTGATTTTTCTTTGTCTCTGGTGATAAATTGCCAGAGATTTTTCCTGCTTTTTATTTATAACTGGACTCATTTGAGTCCAGTTTTAGTGGGACAGCTACAGTCTGTTAGACAATGCATAAACTCAGAGCCCTTCTTTCCTCTTGCAGTGTGTTTGTAATTACTTTAGTAGCTCACATTGGCTTCACAGCAAAAGGAGGAGGAAAAGGAGTGGTTGGAAACTTTTGCTCTACTTCTCATTCCTGACAGAGGACAGATTTTCCCCTGTAGATTTACAAAAAAAACCACCACAGGTGTGTTTCCTCTGTAGGTGAATTATATAGATGAAACAAGATACTATTTTTACGGTGCTGAATTTCAAGATTGTGGAGCAATCAGTGAAAAGCCTTCCTTGTCATGGATAAAGGAGCACTGTGAATACAGTCATAACTGGATTTGTGAAATAAAAAAAGGTAGGTTACTTTTTACTCTAAACTCACCTTATAAAGAAATTCAAGTTAAATCCATTCTATCATAACAGGAAACTCTACAAGTAACATACTGGTAGAAAGTTTTGTTTATTTCACAGGAATTTTGCACACAGAAAAGTAGGTCAAGACCTTTGGTATACAAGTTTCAGCTGTTAGCAATAAACTTTTTTGTTTCATTATAAAAAGTATATTCCATTATAAGCTTTACTAAAATTACACTTCTCTATGTAATTGTGTAATAATAGAAAATATGATGAAAGCAATCTTAAGAGCTTACCTTGCAGTATTCACTGCTCTGCACAAAAGCAGATTTTTGTCAAAACAGAACTTCTGACTGAGGGAGGAAGAGAGGACTACAATTCAAACTAAAAAAAAAGATAAAAAGAAGAAGAAGAATATTATTTTGAATTTCCATATCCTTTGTGAAGTGAAACTTCACTCCTCTGCTCAAATGTTGGTACACAATGGCGCAGTAGCCACCTACTCTAAATTAAACAACATTACCAGCATTACAGAATCAGTCTTTTTGTAAGATGACATGTAAAGACAAGCCTGTAACAACAGGCCTGCTGTAACAAGAAGATAGTAATGAAAGCTTCAAAATTTAAGACAGTTTCACATCTTCATCACATACTAGTAGAAAAATCTCTACTTCTCTGGTTTTTTTTCTTAGCTACTGTTGGGAAAATATTCCATGAAATTAGAGAGGAATAGCTATGTGTTGGGCTACATATTTTACTTCCCAGAGTAACAGCAATGTTCCTCTGGTGGCTCCCTGGGCTCCTTTGCACTAGTTTCAATTGCTTCTTCTCTAAGAGACATAAATTCTGTGCTGCTGAATTATTCAAAGCAATTTTCTAACCAAGGCACATAGTCTCAGCTTCTTATACTTATAAAGCAATAATCATAGACCTCAATCTCAGAGAGATGTTGTTAAGATATTTTTCCTGTTAAGTTCCTTTGTGAGTTCTCACCTGCATAATCACCACGGCTAAAATTCATTAGCAAAGTGTCAATAGTAGCTGTTTACTGCTAATTAGTAGTAGCATATGAATGGCAGAAATTACATCCTGAAGAAATTGCCATCATTAGTCAGCAGTGCAGAATGGCATGCTGAAATAGACAGATTACTTCATACTTCCAGAACAGATATATTAGGGGTTTTATTCTTTTAAATCTTGTAGCAATTTTCTTTTTAAGGTTGCAACCAATCATACAATAGATTATTTTTAAAAGCTGACATATTTTTTTTAACCCAAGCATATGTTCACACACTTAATAAAATGTAATTAAGCATACAGAAACACAAACTTTGCAATAAATTCCGTGGGGGAAAAACCACAGAATCACAGAGTGGGGTGAGTTGGAAAGGACCTTAAAGATCATCCAGTTCCAACCCCCAACCTTTGACCAGGTTGCTCAGAGCCCCATTCAGATGGCCTGGAGATTGTAAAGGTGACAATTATTTTACATTTTTATAGCTCTTGGCCTTAAATGTTTAGAGAAACGTTTCTCCAATATCACGCTCCATGTGATGTGGAAAATTTTTGTTTAAATTATTTTTCAAAAAGTGGTAATGTAATTCATGTCAAAGCAGCTACACTGAAAAAAGTTTAACTAACAAATAAATACTAATAAAATGGGAAATATAAATCATAAATAGAAATTACAAATACAAAAAAATATGTAAAAAAGCAAAAAGGTTTTTGAAATTCAAATAATATTCAAATTCTAACGTTCAAATACAATACAATGTCCGTAAAGAATTGTTCAAAGTCTACCAGAAATTGTTCAAAGTCTTTCAGAAACAAATATTCATTCAGAATAACTTCAGCTATCCAATTTAGGCAATATTGAAGATATTCAAGATGCACTTATCAAAAATCTACCAAGACAGAGATGTAGGCCTGTAATGCATCTTTTATTTATCAAGCATCCATTTTTAACTTTGCACCAAAGATACCATATAATTATATTTTGCATTGAATATATAAATGTGAAAAGTTCATAGACAATAAAATAATTTCCATTAATTGCACACATACTGGCTCAAAGTTTGGGAAATATTTTACATCATCTTATTTTTATCCCATTTCATTACAGGGACACCCTTGAAACCAGAACCTCTGGGCCCTTCTACCAGTAAGCTTCTATTTTCACTTACCTGAAGGGTGGTGGAATGTAACACCACCAGCTTTGCACAAGAACTGAGAAGAATGCAGATTTCTCTTCTGTGTTGCAGCATATGAAGTCACAGAAGATGGCTGGATTGTAAAAGGGGACAAACAATATTTTTTCAGCCCAGAAAAGACCTCTATGGAGAAAGCCAGTACATTCTGCAGAAAAAATCATGGAAACCTTGCTACCATTGGAAATAATAGTGAAAGAAAATTTTTGTGGAAATACGTAAGGGGAGATTTTGTTGTGTTATACACTACATGATTTATATACCCTTTGTACATATCCTCTGCTTGTGAAGTACAGAAGAATGTGCTTGTTGCATAATATTACCACTTTTACCAAATATTGCTACTACTAAAATTTTATTAGGATTAGGTTCAAAGATTCTATGAAAAAAAATTTATTCTACTAAATGAATCTTCAGGGAAAAAAACCCATGTAAAAAGAATTTAATGTTTACTCAGATAGGTATATTCTTGTCTGTTTTAGTCTGAATGGAGTTCTGAGCAAATAGATAAGAGCAATGAACAGGCAGGGTAGGTGTATTCTCAGCAAACTGTCCTTCTGGCAGGGTGTTTGCCTCTACTCTGAATATCATATACCAGAACCCAGTGTTGCACACAGGTCAGGCAGGCAGCTGCCAGTGTAGCTTTGATGGTCCTGCCTGATGGTCATGCTGCTCTCCAAAAGCTTTTCAAAGAAAGGCTGGTCCAGGTCAGACTGATCATTCCAACAGCTCTTCATGGATCAGTTTTCCTGTTCCATGACTGAAACACAGCAGGGGAATGCTGACAGCTTCACAGCATGGATGGTACCTCAAACCTCTGCCATAATCCTGCTTGGTTTGCTCATACCAACATAGCCACACAATCACCTTTCTGAGCCACACTATTAGATGTTTGCTTTTATTGTGTGGGAAATGATATGACAGGAGGAGAACTCAGCTTGAGACTCAAAAATTACATAGCTGCTTACAACTAGGAAAGGATCAAAAAATCAATACTTTATGTTTTTCTCAAGTCTTCTATGACCTTTTCTTCTTAAATTGAGAACAGAACTTTGAAAGCTTTGATCCTACCAGTAATTCAGCCAAAAATGGGAATGTATAAAAAAAATAACAATAAAGCAAAACTGTAAGTTTTACAGTACCTCAGGTGACTGTGCACAAAAAATCATTTAAAGAATATGTATTCATTTCTTTTCTTCTGTAGAAAAATATTGACACTTTTTAATAATATTATAAAATTCTAATTTATTTATTTTTTATGCTTAGATCTTAAAAAATGGCAAACTGAACTCATATCTCATAGGATTAATCCAGAATGCTGATGAACAGTTCAGGTAGGTAAATAAGCTTCATCAAGATCCATAAAGAGCAGTTGTAGGAGTATTGTAATGCCAAAGTTCCTTCTGGAGGAACCACTGCAAAGGAGTTAAATGCAGATTCAGAGAGTGATAATGCTTGTTGGAATGTGTGCTCTCCTTCAGTTAAACTACATTGTACAAACACAGTTCTAAATGGAAATTTTGTATGCTATGAATATGTTGATAATATCTGTTAAAAATAAAGGTATTTTTGTCTTTGATTTGATATGCAGGGATTTCATTATTTAAGACCTTTCAATCCTAATGGAAACTCAATTTATGGAGAGACTCAGCTGTAATTTTAAAAAAATATTTTCAGTATGTTAAGGAAGATTTTTCTCAACTGTTTCATGGACATTGTCTCAGCAACCACTTCTGCTTTTCAGTTGGATGAGTGGAAGCCCAGTGCACTATGCAGCTTGGGCACAGGGTGAGCCCAACTTTGCAGAAGGTCAAGAAAATTGTGTGGTTTTGAATAAAAAAGATGGTGAGTCATACAACTATGGTATGTAAAATAATTTTATGGCTGCTGCTCTTCCAATGTTTGTTTAAAATCTCTTGTCAATTTTCACCCATTCTTTACCAGAAATTTTGAGAAATATGCATTATAAAGAATAGTTGTTATATCCAAGGTTTCTTCAGGGGCAATATTATCCATAAAAGTGGAGTCTAAGAAATTGATTTTAATGGGAAATGCAGTGGCAATTTCATCACTGGTGTTTCAGCTGCAAAAAGAAAATGTTCAATTCAAATCAACAGCAATTATTTTTTTAAATTATTATAATTAGATAATAGTGAATTGAAAATATTTCCTAATAATAGAAAGTATTTCAACTTCTAATAATAGTTTTATAATTTATTTTTAATTATTAGATGCTATTTCTAGTGATAAGAGAATTGTTAGCAAAGGAATAGAACATACATAGATTTTCACATTCTGTAATGCTTTCACTGATTCAGCATTACTTGGCACTTGCATCTTTCAGTGCAACAAAGCTGTTAGGGAGGGTTTCACTGAGAGGCCACCTCATGTGGCCACTTCTCCCCCAGTGACAGCAGGACCAAAGTGCCCCTGCATACAGGGACAGTGGGAGGTAGAGCTGAACTAATGCAGGTATCCCATATTCCCATGCAGATTGCTTCTGAACTTCAGAAACCAGTTCACCTTCCCACAAATTTCAATCTTATTCAGTGTCTTAGTACCTAAACTTTAATTGTTTCAGGCTTGTGGAATGATGTCAACTGTGGTTTTTCCAATGGCTACATCTGTGAGAGGCACAGAAGTTTTATAAATGCAACCCTTCCTTCAGCAGTACCCTCAGCTCCTGGAGGATGTCCTGCAGGTTGGATTTTATTTAAAAATCAGGTATGACACTTTCACCTAAGAACAATGATATTACTGCTTGGGAAGATACTTAAAGATACACTTAAGGCCCTCTGTCTCTCAGATATGTTTTGTCAGTTGCATTAAAAAATGAACCCATTGGCTAATTACTGCAAAATGGTGGCTTTACAGATGTTTAATTGTTTTCTTGAGAAGTGGCCACCTGAGGCACATTGGGAAAACTGTTACATTGTATAGATGTTTCAAAAAACTGAAGAACTGAATTCATCTGAAAGCACTGGGCATAGCACAAAATCAGTCATTTGAGATGGAACAAATCAGAAATAAGATAATTTTTTTCCAAATAGGCTCCAATGTAATGCTTGCCTCTTCCCAAAAGAGACAAACTTGATGTGCTTAATAAGTGAGGGCTCTCTTTCCTGACACATACAGCATTATGTGTTAGGCACCCACAGATACCACACCAGGTGAGTTTATGCCAGGTTACAGTCATCAAAGTTATCATTTCCAAAAACCTTGCAAGATAATTCTCTGACTGTGCTACTGGCATGACACAGAGCAGAGGGTGAGCTGCAAACATGGAGGGCACATGAGGCACACTGGTAATTATCAGAACTTCGAGGATGAATATGTATTGGTAATGTGATGGCTATTACAGTTTTTAAGAAATTAGTCACACACTTCCAGTAATGAGAGAGCTGTATAATGACATTAATGAGAGATCTGTATAATGAAGAAGGCTGAATAGACACAAGACTACTTTGACCACAGACACCAGGTCAAAAAGGGTTTTCAGAAAGTTCCAGCAACTCCACACCTGGGTTGGCCTTTTCCTACAGTTAGAACTTTGTCTTGTGGTGGTGTATGGTTTCTAGAAATCTCTGAGTTAGTTAAAACATTAGATTCTCATCAGACTCCTACTGTGTTTGTAAATAGCTATTTGAGTTTTGTTTTGACTTTCTCAATGCCTTGCAGAAAGACAGAGAGCAAACTTAAAACTTGTAAATGGTTTTGATTTGGTTCCAGATCCAAGTTAACTGAAAAAAATATTTTGGGGGTCTGAATTAGGGTGGTTTTTACTTAAACTAGTGTAATTCATACCTAAATTCTTTGTCCTGTCACTCTAACAGTCTATACTTATTTTTCCCTAGTGTTACAGATTTTTTGGCTCTGGCTATGATTTCTGGAGTACTGGAAGAAGAGTTTGCATGAGCCTTGGAGGAGACTTGGCAAGAATTCCTAACGAACAAGTTCAAGGTATAGTGCAACAGCCCCTTAGGTAATAGAGAACCTTTACTCTGTATACAGTAGACATTTCCTGCAAAGAAGGCAAGTGTCAGTATGTAAATTATTGCTTTTTATAATTTGTATTCAAATTATGGTTATATGCCCATGGCATTAAATGTTTTTAGAACTGAACAATCTGTTTGGGGCATGCTAGTCATGCTAAGGATTGCTTTTTCATGTTACATGCAAAGTATATTACATTATTTATAGGCATGAATTAAGATAAAATTAAAAATCTGGATCTGGCATTTATGACTTTAGGCACAGAGAAAAAAACAGAATGCATAGTCTGTTTGTGCCAGAAATAGAATGGGATGTGTGTCTATACCTCTGCCTAAATTCTGCAACTTGATTTTGTATAATGCCAGAGAAAGACATATTTTCACCTTGCCTGTGTTCCCTGGCTTCCATTTGCAGCTGTACATATTTCCATCAGTCAAGTGGCTCATCCTGACTGCTGAAAAATAAGTGAACTCTTTAGATATCATGGTGGTCAGACACGCATTTTTTTTCTCTTCCTTTTTCTCTTCCTCTTTCCAGTCTTGCTTCATTGTTCCCAAATACTTGGACTCTTTGAGATTTTTCATGGGTAAGGGCTTGGCATAACCTTGAAATAATGAAATCAGGTAAATTTCTGATCAAATAAAATCAAAATGTTTTTATAAGATTTTAATAAAAAAACAGTTAAGTATTTATGATTTGATTCTTTGACTGATCATGTAACACAATAATTTTCTCCTCTATTTTTATTTTAGCTTTTCTCACGTACCATTTGAAGGATGCTTCAAATGATCTTTGGATTGGCTTGAATGATCTGCTCAGTGAACTCAACTTTGTTTGGTCTGATGGAAGTGCTGTCTCATATACAAACTGGGCTAAAGGTTCCCCAAAACTTGTAGAACCTATTTTGTATGACAGTCTGCATCCAGAAGATGGCCGAAATCGGCAACAGGTAAATATTGCTTGGTGTTTGCCATCAAGTCTAAATCTGAGGAGCAATAGCACTCCCAGTAAGCAGCTCACACCACTGCAGACCTTGCCCCAGCCTTCTGCATTGGTTTGTCATCTATCTTTATTCCGAGACTA